TCCAGCAGACACAAGCGGTACCGCCCCAAACGAAACCGCACTTTCCAGCAACGTTCCATCCCGTGGGGTTGAGGAGCTGCGACGCGAGGTAGATCATGGGGATCTCGGCGACGTAGTACGCGGCGCGACCAACGGCGGTGCTGAGGGCACGGAGGCGGACGGCAGAGGTCTCGGCGATGATGGTGTAGGAGATGGGGCCGAGGGTACCCGCGAAGACGAAGGAGATCAATATTCCCAGCACGGCTTGGGCGTAGTTGGTGGCGCTGTTCTGGGGGATCGAGGCGCAGACACCCAGGAGCATGAGGAAGGTGATGTTGACGGCCGTGCCCCAGAGATAGATCGTGCGGCGGCCGAACCAGGCGGTCAAGGGCCAGGAGAGGGCGTTAGCGACGAACTGGAGGCAAGAGTTGATGAGATTGAGGTTGAAGGCCATGTCGTGGGCCATGCCGGCTTGCTCGAAGAAGAAGGTAGCCTGGTTGGCGATGAGGTTACCGGCGAAGTTCTGCGAGGCGTACATCAGGCAGGTAATTGTTGTACGGCGGAGATCGACGCCCTTGAAGAGGTCGAGGAGAGTCGGGGTTCCACCGATGTTGGCCTCGATCTGGACGGTACGCTCGATCATGGCGAGCTTGCGCTGAGCTTGGCCGGCGGTGCCGTGGGTGGGGCCGAGACGCTGGACAGAGCGGAGGGCTTCCTCCTTACGGCCGCGGCGGATGAGCCACCAAGGGGACTCAGGAGCAAACCAGAGGATTACCATGAGGGGAAGCTGGAGACCGGGTCAGTCTATGGTCATGCGAAGTACACGGGTGATGAGTAAACTCACGGGGAAGATCCACTGGAGAGCAAGGGGCGCGCGCCACGCCCACTCGTCGGTACGGCTGTTGAAGCCAAGAGTTGCGCCGGCGACGATGATGGAACCGATGGACCAAGACATCTGCAGAGTGGCCGTGCAGGCACCACGCAGGGCGAGGGGGACAATCTCAGAGGCGTAAGCGGGGCCGATGGCGATGAAGAAACCCCAGGGAACACCCTCGAATGCCTGTCCGATGGTGAGGACTTCAAGCGAGTTGGCCTAAATTAGGGTCAGTACATATTCTGATGCGCAACACTGCGATCGGGATTGCCTACAAAGAAGGAGATGAAAATGGTGGCGTTCATCATGATCAAGGCAACCATGGTGGCCAGGCGATACCCGAGCTTGTTGACAACGGGGCCGGCGAGGAAGACACCGACAAAGGCACCGCACTGGCCGGCCTGGAAGAGGGCGGACTGCCACTTTGTCTCGATGGCCTTGCCCCCGCCAGCAACTTCAACACCGTATCTATCCTGGAAGGCCTTCTGGGCAACAAAGTTGCCGTTCAAGAACATGTCGAAAGATTCCATGACCTATTGGACAAGTACCCCAATTAGTAACTGACTCGCGAGCTTAAAGACGGAATGGCGGTCCGTAAAGCCGCCAACATACGCAGGGGTCGATACCCAAACACGAATAATGGAGAGAAACTTACAATGGTGAAGCACATGATAAAGGCCCAGAAACAAGCCTTGGGGTGCGTCTTGACGGCCTGCCACAGGCCCTGGTTGTGCTCTTCGTTCTCGCCGTCAAAGGCATCGTTCATGAGGTCCGCGTCGGCCAGCGTCTTGTTGCCTGCCGCGTCAATGTGGTGGGCATCGCCGACCTTTTCGTCGACAAAGACGTTGTCATCCCTGCTGGAGGCGTCGTGCCCGTCCTGGGCGAGGCCTGTCGACATCTTGGGCTGAATTTGTGTGAGAGTTCCGAGGGTGGTCGTGGTCGGTGGTGGCTGCAAAATCGGAGGATTTTTGGCCAACAGCAAATTGCAACTAGCAAAAGCCAAGAGAGAACAAGCAACGGCCAAGAAACAACAAGCAAAAGAGCCAAGAGAAATTTGGAGTCGCCCTGGTGGCCAAGATTTCTTTCTAGGAAAGGGGGACTCGGGAGCATCCGGTCTTATACCATCCACCTGCCCCCAACGCCGGGGACGGGAGCGGCCTTCAAAGGCTTCCTGCTCTGACGAGATGGGCTTGACGAGAGACTAGAAAATGCGAAATTTCATGCTGTCATTGGTGCGCGTAAGAATACGGGTAGGACGGGGCTCTGCGGAGCTTTGGAGTAAGCATCGTTTCCTGACCATGTCCCTGAGGGCGTCTGGGGTGTCTGGGGGACAAGAAGACTGGTGATAGGTGGGAGAACTCTAGTGACTCTTCGTGCGGGGGGATCGTGCGGGGAGCGGGGAGTCTCGAGGTCCAGTTCTCCAAAGGCCAGCCGAGGTGACGGAGTTGTTGGACAGTATGGGCATGGTGTTGGACTGGAAGAGCCTAGGAGGTGGATGAAGTGGATGAGCAAGATGATGTGGATGAAGAGGAGGAGGAAAATGGATGGAGAGGAGAAGTTTGGAGAAAAGTTGGAGAGACCCAGTTGTGTCCTGGTCCAAGACTAAACCAAACCTTGCCTAGCTGTGTTATCCTGGCTCTCCCCCTTGCTTGAGGCAACTTGAAGCCGCATTGTACAAATTGCAACTGGTTGCATTTCAGACGGGCTTCGGATGGCTTCGGGCACTAGTCAAAGGCCCGATGCCGTTTCATGCGCCGATGCGCTCGCTTCAGCAGACAGCGTTTGCATATCTGCACCGGTAGATTCGCGTGGCCTGACAATGACATTTCATCCTTCCATCCGGTATCCGATCGTGTAGAGAGAGTAGCATTTTACTATAGCCAAAGGTCGTTGCAGAAAGCGGCCCCGATTTCCCCAGGAAACTTTGGCGCGGGTACGAATATTCCTACTCCGTACTCACCCGCTTAACCCCGTTTGATTCCCACTCAACTTAGCCTATGACGTTTGTCGACGTGGTTGGGCGTCTTTCCTAACCTGGGCTTAGAAAAAGTTCGTTCTGGTCGGCCCGTATTCAAGGAGCAGTGTGGAGACAAAGAATTGCTTTTGGCCAGGGTTCAGCCAGTGATGTTCTCGAGGAATCAGACGAAAACTAATCGCCCCCTCCTGGACATGCCATGTCGATTGGCATGTCAAGTTGAGAACACTGGAGACCGGACGAGTAGACTGCTTTAAGCTTGGGTTCGCTCTTCTCCCCCAGAGAGGCCCGCTGAACTCCAGACTCCAGAATATGATGGACAAATGGAAGAAATGACGACTATCAATTCCCCACGGGTGCCGCGGGGCGTCAAACCTTGATTCTTTGAATGGCATCAGTATCACGAGGGTAGCCCATACCCACCATTCACCCCAGAGAACTTTCGACTCACCTCATAGCATGTGACTTGGTGATTTAAATCTTTAGCCGAACTTTTGCTAGTCGGCCCACCGCTACTCACAATCTCTGGGAGCCTCCAGAAAACGGTGTGCCTAACCCTATGCGTGCGAATCAGACGTAGTCGCCGTTGGCCCGTTGATGGTATTCACAACTCTCTCCCCACAACCTCAACCACAGCCCCATACCCCGCAACAGCGAAGTCTCAACCGCTAGGTTTCGAACCACGATCAAGATATAACCGTGATCAAGCCAGCCGCTCGGTGAGCCGGACAGTCGGTAATCTTGCACGCCGTTCATGGCCCCGTCACTCTTTTGACACTTTGCTAGCTGGGTGCCCCGGCCGTGGTCGTGGTCCCTCGGTACGCGTGCGGCTGCAAAAACGACACGGGTATCCCTCGCTCTCGGCAGCGAGCTCCGAGGGCGTCGTCTATCGCCACTGCCCAGCAGCAAGCCAACCGGCTTGGCGTTGATCCTTTGACAGCCGCCAGCGTCAGCGGCTGATTTCGGTCTTCCGAATCAATGAAATCGCTTCCCGGCTACCGACGCGGCCACTGATTGGTTGCATCTGCCAAGGTTCATCTGCAGTGCAGTTCAGACGCTTTCGCCAAAGTGTTTAACCGTTCGGGTTGTTTTATTCTCTCGGCTTTTAAACATACACGGCGTTTCCTTACGGAAAGGATTCAATGACTTATTTTATCCAACCTGGATTCCGCATGGTAATTGCTCAAACTGCTCATAGTTTTGGAGAAGAATACGATCGTAACCAAGTTCCATGCACTACTACACCACTACGTGCGTTTCATGCCTATCTTCAGCTCTGCCTCATTCGACATTGACGAAGGGCGGATATGGAAGGATTTTCGGCAAAATAACACGCACTAGTCATTGTTTAGTTTGAGAAAGTCTATCACTGACGCCATCTACCAGCCGAAGAAATCTCGAAGCACATAATGAGCAACTTGGTGAAGAGTTCAGACCACGCCACAGCGCGCTGGCCATCCGCCCACAGCGTTGCAACACCTAACTCAAGAGCTTTGGCGAGCGAATCGGCCTAGAAGCCCAAATCCAAGATGATGTAGACACATCGGCGCAGTTGGCTCTTTAGGTTGAGGCAATTTCTGTTACGAGGAATTGAACAACAGCGGAATGGTAGTGTTCGGATCCTGGAAATCTAGGTCCCGAGATTCTATTTCGAACGATCTAGGATATGGTTGGTAATCCTCTAGGAGCTGGTTTTTCCGCTCCGGCTGCACTACCTCCCGCCAAGAGTTTGCGTGACTATCCGTTGCATCTCAAGATTTCACGTTCGAGCAACCGAGAGATTGGAGACTTGAGTAGCATGACACTGCGCGTTCCGAAAGACACCAGAGCATGCCAGACAGTGGGCATTTATAGGTATTGATCACCAAGTCTGTAGACGTGTTGGATCATTAAAGCCTGTTTATCAACTTGTCGAGTCGACCTCGAGTCAGGGTAGCTGTAGGGGCCAGGGACGATCACTTCATCAATCTCCAACTGCGTACCAATAAATTACCCCTTTTTCAATCCCGCAGAAATCTCGATATCTGTTCAGTTGATCTTCCGTCACCCTTCGAATCCACGAATCGAACCGGTCAGCCTGTGGGTACGGATACCAACACCACTACGCTACCTCACAACGTTGAAGGCAACAGTTGAGCCCAGATCCAACCGGATAGCAAGGGCGCCCACGAAATGGACTCTCTGCCCCAAGAAATATTGGATAACATCCTCGGTCGCATACCTGCGCGAGAGAGCGACAACTATAATGAAGAACTCCTGGAGCTCGAAAACTGGATGGATGTTGACTCGGAAGCATTCGACCCTGAGACACCGCGTCTTCGACTTGATCTTGCGGCCGTCTGCCGCACATTTTAGCTGGGCATCGAACGGGCAATTCTTCGCTCACTTGTAATCACAAGTGACGACTTCAAATTCGTCTGAGATGCCTTCAAACGGTGCTGCAACCGCCAGACTTCACTACGCGAGCTGCATGTGAACATTGTGACACCCGAATACCGGCACAGCTCAGGGCCCTCGGATATCGTCGAGAACATGGCACACTGCGACATTGCCCACACGGAGATCCTGAGAGAGTTGATGCTAATGCTGTCCGAATGGCCAGACGACACGCGAGTATCATTGTCCATCGGTCTCAATGATAAACACGACAGAAAATCGAAAATCACCGAGCTTCACCATTTCAATGTGGTGAATCCTCAACTCCTTCCGATCGTGCTATGCGTCCGTAGCTTGAAGTTCTCGTTCTTCTACCAGCTCTCGTCTCTGAGACGGAATGTCGAGGGCGACTTCCTACTTATGCAAAAGTTTCCTAACTTGGAATCTTTCGACCTCGATGCTTCGGAGTTTCCCTTCTTCATGGAACTTCGACGAGAAATGCGAAAGTCTTTGATCAACACCCTGCCATCATATCAGTTCCCGACATCGGCGAGGCACGGAAAGCTTATCATCCTACCCAACGAATACAGTCCCTTCCAGCAGCTACCGCAGATGACCAAAGACAGGGAGAGCGATCCTCTCTTCGTAGGCCTGCGCCGAGCAATTGACGGCTTTTCAGAATTTGAGTACGGGGGCCATCTCAGCTCTTCTTTTTTCTGGTCGCCACCCCCTAGTCTGGGCGATGCAGTCCCGTATTGGCAGAACATGACCAAGCTCAAGGTTGATTGCGACATGGTTTCGCCCAGCGGAGAGGGTACCTGAAGCACTATAACACGCGCATTGTCGAGTTTCTGAGTAGCACCGGCAGAATAGTGCCAGGCGTAATCCGAGAAGGAAATGCTGAGGAGCCGGTGTAGAAAGCTGGTGTTTCGGAACTCGTCAGACGCAGAAACATCGAACGTTCCTATTTAGAGGATAACCCCCCAGACAGGCAGTATAGCGTCAGCGGCGACGACAAAGTAGCCGCCTGGACCGTCAACGAGAAGGTCATGGTGCCAATGCTCACATCCATTGCCAAGGCAGCGGGCCAGATGATCTCCCTCAAGGAACTCCGGTTCAGAGTCATCTTGGCTAAGTACGATAGAAACCAGGGCTCCGAATGGTTTCATCGCTCCCACGTTGATTATCTCGCTCCTGGGGTGATGCCAGATGTGGGCGACGAAAAGTTCCCGTGGTGCAAATGCTATTCTAAGGACTGGATACCGGAGTATAGGGCACGCCAGGCCGGCGACTTAGAGAAGGCTCGTTTGCTACTCGGAATCAAAACTGAGAATCAGAAGCGTGAAGGGACAAAGGACTCCTGTCCGGACAGCCCAAGATGGCTTTTGAATATGGATCAGTGGCAGCCGAATGAAGAATTGCTCGACTTGTTTAGGCAAGCAGGGAGAAAGGCTCATTCAAAGGATGCGGTCATCGTTCGACACGTACACCATCACAGACAGGACTATATCATGGAAGAGGACTAGCTGTAGCATCTGTGGAGTCGAGTCACTTGCGATCGTGAGACGGGACCACTGTTTTGAGATGTCAACTTTGTAATATTACTCCAGGCTACGTATGTGTGTCGTTAGCATCAAGATCCGCCAAACTGGACGACAGTTTGAAATGACATTTAGAGCTGAGAGATCGTTTCGTCGTCTACCGGCCCATCGGCCCTTGATGAGGTAGAAAGTGACGTACTAAGAGTCGGGATCTAACAGCCGGGCTGGACTGAACTTTGTACCCAAGTAGCCTTGCCTACCTACGAACCCGACTGTCACTCCGTAATACCTACCTGCCACTGTGACAACTTGATAAGACAATGGAGATTATGACTGTAACTCAAGATACATCAATACATGTACATGTCGAGGACACACGGTCTGGAAGATATCTCATCCCTCATAGTACCTCATAAGAGATTAGACAAAAGAACCCAGTCTTATGATTGGAGGAGCTTGCCCTTGGCAACAGTGTAGCAAGATTCACACAATCATGAATGCATGGCAAAGATTAATAGGCGGAGAGCTTTTAATTATTTTTACTCATACATGTACATCATCCGCATCATTACAACATTACGCATTTGTCGAATCCCAGCTTTACATCGCCAGCAGAGCCAACAGGGAGAGACCCACGGCGCCAATGCTGACGGAAACCAGGCTAGCGCCGCTAGAGCCAGAGGTAGAAGTCGGAGTGGCACCGGTACCGGTGGCAGTGCCGGAAGGAGTGGACGCGGTGCCGTTGGTTGCGACAATACGGCCCTCGATCTTGGCCTCGACGGGGCTCTTGGCCTCAACATACTGAACGAGGACCTCGTCCTGGGTATCAAGGGTCACGAAGTCAGTGGTAGCGACAAAGATGTTGTCACCGCCACCGGCCAAGAAGTCGAGCGTGACGACCTTGTAGTCCTTGGCGTCATCAAGGGCCTCGCCGCCGACCTCGACAGAGACGAGCTTGGAGCCGTTGTTGCCGGCCGGGTTGTATTCGATGATGATGTTCTTAGAGACCTGGAAGAAGGAGGTGATGGCCTCCTGGTTGAACTGGTTGACCTTTGTCACTGCACCCTCGAGGATCTTGCGCAGGTCGGAGCCCTTGTAGGTAATCTCGACAATGGAGTTGCCAAAGGGGAAGGAGGTGAGCACCTCGCCGCGGGTAATGTTGCCCTCGTCAATGGTGGCGCGGATGCCGCCGGCGTTGATGAGCGCAAAGTCGGGCGGGCTGTCGGCGGAGGAGTTGAGGCGGTACTCGTACATGGCGTCGGTCATGACGTTGCCGAGAATGCACTCCTGCTTCTGGCAGAGGGACTGGTCGAGCTCGACGTTGGAGACGCCGACGACTTCGGCAGCAAAGGCCTCGAAGGGTCCGCGCCACGACTCGATCTGGGCCTGCAGGGCGGCGTCCTGCTCGGTGGTGTTGGTGAGGTGGATAGGGCCGCCGTGGTAGGCGAGGATCTTGCCCTCGGCATCGTAGGTGACGTCGATGTAGCCGACATACTCGCCCCAGCGGTATGCGGTGACGATGAAGACGTCGTCGCCGTCCTTGTTCTGCTTCACAGTCGGGTAGGGGCCCTCTGCGTCCTCCATCGAGCCGAGGAGGGTGTGAGAGTGGCCGCCCATGATGAGGTAGAGGCCGGTGGTCTGCTCGGCGAGCTTCTGGTCCTCCTCGTAACCGATGTGAGTGATGGCGGCGATACGGGTGATGTTGGTGGTGGACTTGATGTGGTCGATAGTGGACTGCACAGTGCTCACGACATCGAGGAACTTTGTGCCCTCGCCGGGGGAGGAGATGCCCGGAGTGGTGGTGGTGGTGACACCGATGACGGCTAGGCCTTGGTCCTCGAAGATGTGGTAAGGCTTGATGGTCTTGTTAAGCTTCTCGTTGTCGGAGACAATGTTGGCCGAGATAATGGGGAACGTGAGGTTCAGCAAGAAGTCACCGAGCTGGTCATCGCCGCCGTCGAACTCATGGTTGCCGAGGGTCATGGCATCGAAGCCGAGCTGATTGATGGTCTCCGCAATCTTCTCGCCCTTGTAGAAAGAGTAGAAGAGCGTGCCCTGGAACTCATCGCCAACGTTGAGCCACAAAGAGTCGTTGTACTGAGGGCGCAGCTCGTCGACGGTGTGCTTGATGCGCGCGTAGCCTCCGTAGCAGCCGCGCTCGGGACGGGTGCAGTCGGTGCCCGAGGAGGAGAACTCGTCGAGATGGGCGTGCACATCGTTAACATGGAAGAAGGAGATGTTGTAGTTGCCCTCGGCGTCGATGCCACGCTTGGAGAGGCGAGACGAGTAAAGGTGGTCACCGTCTTCCTTCTCGGGAACTGCAAAAGCGGCGCCGGCCAAGGCCAGAGCCAGCGTCGGGAGAGACTGGCGCATTGTGAGTGAGGGGATTGCGAGTTTCGGAAGGTGGGAGGCAAAAGAGAGAGCTCAAGAGGCCGCAAACAAGCCCGATCTGATGTCAAGGTTGCGCGAGAAGTCAATTAAGCCTTCACGATGCCACGGTTGAGTATGCGCCACGCAGAGTTCTTGGAGGGGAAGAGGAGGAAAACTTTCTTCTACTGACGATCGCAATTCTCCTCTTTCCGGGTTCCTGGAGCTACCCGCGCGAATATATACAAATTTTTGCTTCTGCCCAGAGCTTGCGGGCAGCAATTGGAGAGTGGAACAAACAAGAACCACATGCGTTCAATTGTGACGGCGGTGGCACAGGCAACGCAGCGCGACAGCTTCGAACGGGGGGTCTGCATCTCGGAAAGCATCTCTCTCTGAACGCTGAGTGGCTGGATAGACACGACAAGACACCAAAGAACCCCCGTTGTAGGTTCTTCTGGCCGCATGCCAAGACATTGGCAAAGTGGTTTATGCCGGGAAAGACAGCTTCTTCGGTGATGAAGTAGCATTTGCCAAGAGACGCGGACAGATGAGGGGTGAGATACACGTTGCGGTGGTGATTTGGATGATTGGCTTATCAGCGGTCCCTTTGCCTCTTCTGGAGCACGCGTTGGCCCGGCGGAGGCCCTTTGACTTCTGTCAAGGAGGGACGAGTCTGGGGGACCTGAACCGGGGTTCATGAACTGGTAGGTCGTGTAGTGTTCCTCCGGACGATGCCATGCGACTCGCGGCCAATGTACGGTCAGTTACGCATCACGGTCTCTCTTCAGCTTGTTGGGCTTTCCACAAAGGGTGACTGAGAAAGGGCTTGTCTGACCTGTGGACGGATGCAGCCGAACCTGTGTTGGCAAGTGGTGTGGCGGGCAGAGTTCATCGAGCTTTGCTTCTCTATCCGGTCCCGTGTCATCACTTGCTTGCATGGGTATCGCATGGCGAGGAGCCTCAACTGGCTCGGTGTGAAAAGAACACCCTGATGAACATCTGCGGAGCAACTAGACGCTCATCATGGAGACCACTTGATGCACTCCAGAGTGCCTGCAGAGCGAGACAGTCCCTCGGTAACACGACGTGACCTTGATCCAGGTCTAGGGTGGCAATTGTACCCACGGCAAACTCACCATCATGTTGTGCCAGGCCGGCTTGGCCCCCGTCTCCCTTGACTCTGACTGTCTGACAGTTCGTCCGTCCTTCTGCATCCATCCAAGCTTCAGGCAGCGTGCGTCTCGTCGCGTGGAGTGACTACCTGGAAAAGAAACTTGACGATTCCCAAAATCTTTCCCACCATCGCTTCACCCCCGCCGGCTTGGGATGGACAAGGACTTCTGGGCTGGGCTGTGGGGTTCGGAGGAGCAACAAATAACGTTAATCCAGTCACTGTCCAATCCCACGACGCGCTTAGGAACTTTCTCTGATAACGTTGGGGAGACACCTAGGCCGAAGACGGAAGGTCAATGTTATTGCGCTGACCTCCGCTCCGCCTGTCGAGAACTCGCGTGCGTGTGTTCAGCTGCGATCCCGGCGGACGAGACTGGGCCAGCTGCTGCTCCGAGCTTGCGCGACATTGTGGGTTTTTGGTTCCTGAACTCGGAATCGCAGAAGAGAGCCAATATTCCCAGCGATAAGAAGGCCTTCGATATTGTGGCTGCTTCTTCCCCGGGGATGAGCTACCCTTTCAGGGCAAGAGAGCACGCGAGCCTATCTCTCTCGCTCAATATTCCGATAGGATGCTTTTAAGACAGGAACGGATGATGGCTGTGAAGCAGACGGATGTCGCCGAGGAGCGGCCCTACAGCTGGGGTTTTGCTGTGCCTAGTCGATGCAGCAGTATGGCGCAGCGAGAGCTTGGAAGTAGATATCAAGTGTGTAGTGAGTCGGCGCATGCTATACGGAATTGAACAAGTATCACAGTATTCGTACGAATTGATGTCGCGTTGATATGCGGTATCTCATGACATGGGTACTCCGTACAGCTCTAGAGGATAAGAGGGCGGGCAACTGGCGGGAATGTGGGGGAGGTCCGGAGATGCCAGCGGAAGTCCCGACTTATCGGGATCGCCCGATGCAATACTTGGCCACACTCCATGTGAATAAGGTAGTAACATATCTAATGGATGAAAATCTGGAGGTGATACTCAAGATTAAGAGCGAACCCAATCCACAATTCTGCTTTAGAAAATGTCGCATGAAGCCGCCCGCTCTAGCGACAAGAAGGACGGTGTGAACAGACAACGTGTTAATGACAGACCAGGGTAGCTCAGATTCATAACCACATGCGACAGAGGAGTGAGATAATAACTCCATTACTCAAGTGACTAAACATCAAACCGAAAACAAATACACACTATGTAGAGTCTCAAAGCGATATCTGACCCTAATTCTTCCTACTCTTGCGCACTTCATGCTCGTCTAACCGCTGTAGCACTGCACTCTTCCATCGCCATTCACCTGAAGGCTTGAGCACGAGAAGCACGTGCTATCCTTCGCTCCCGCATCACGGCACCGTCTGTTGAAGTCGTCTCCATCGATCTTCCACTTCTTAGTCATATTTTGAAGCTGGTGCTGTTAGCTTGGTTCAACCGAATTCACTTCCTTAAGGTCCGGCTTACGTATTGTTCATCCTTACGAGGCCCAGGGCTGTGTGCGAACCAATCTATTTTAGAACTCGTCGGATGCTCAGATGGACCTTGACTCAGTTAGCCTATTAAATTCTAACGAGCAACACTCATGTTGTAGCACTTACCCCAAACGTAGCCATAGCAAGGCTTCGCGGCAACCTTCGCCGTCGCGGCGTGGTCCACGGGGCTGTTGGACCATTGCTGGCAAGCACAGTAGTCGTGGGAATCCGCCACGGCGCCAGGGCTGTTTGTTAACCGTAATGTTACTATGCAAGATGAAGGATACCCTACATTCGCGCAATGGCTGCCACAGCTAATTGGAAGCGCATCTTGTGGTGTTTGATATGTTGAACCATCACACTCTCAACTGCACAAGGTATCATCATTCGCGCACTTGTAAACATGGTCAACGATCAAGTTACCTTGTTCACAGAGATGGCAGGCATGGGCGTCACTGTCGATAACGTCGCTCGGCTCTTGGCTCTCGGGCACCCAAGTCGCATTTGAGGTGAAAGCCGCAGGAAGATGGGGTGACACTGCTGCCAGATTTGTCTATGACTTTGGCGTGGGAACCATCATCGCCTTTATTAGAGAACGTGCCCGGGACCCAAGAGGATACATTTTGCCAGTCGACACCCAGTACTGCTACACTATATCGTGCGTTTGTTCACTTCCGATTCGGATTCTATATTCTAATTACATCGTAGGGCATAAGCTACAAGCTATAATACTCTACATGCACTGGCTAGTCGCATTGCGTCTCTTTGATAAATCTTGCTACCTTAAGATCACACAGAATTGCACGGACGGATGGGAATGGCGGTCATTGAAAGCACGGCTCGCAGCATTAAATAGAGAGGAGAGCCATGCCCGTCGTTTGTGGGCAATGTAAAGGTTGATATTAGTTTATCGTAGACAAGGTGAAGATTTTCGAGCTTCCCATAGGTTGAAAGATACTTGATTCAGAGTGAACTAAGGGAGAAGACCCAAGCGCCCCCCGGAAGGGAGATTCTTCGAGTTATACTGCAACACATTCTTGACTGAGCGTGAAGAATTCAAGTTAGCATATGTTTCATACTAAGTAGATGGAGTCTGATTAAATAGCTTACCTTCGCTCCAGCTGAAAGGCTCGACCTTGGACAGGGCAATCTCCCACCAAAGTCGCAAACACCACGTCGCGACCAACCCATCTCTAATATCTTGGGTCAATGGGACGACGATCTGTAGCTTGTGGATCCCCTCCTCGCTCGTCTCATGCGCGAGAACCGTCTTGTCGCTCCCATCGCGCCATTCTTGCCGTCCGCTGCCCCGCGTCTTGATGTTGAAGAGCATCTCCTTGGCTTCAAGATCGGCCCCTTCTCTCGCCCTTGTCGCCCTCCAGGCGCGGTAACCCGATCCACCCAAGCGTCGGTGTGTTTTAATACCAACATGTCCAACGTTTCCGCGAGAGACCGAGTTTAAGTGGTATGGGAAGGGGGGCTCAGTGACTGTTGGGTCTCGCTTTAGGTCGAAGATGTGCTTCTTTCGTGATGCTACCTGAGGACCCGATGCTCCAGAAGAGTCCCGTACACTATTCTCGTAGCGGTAAAACGAAACTGATGTATTGGACTCCCGCAGGTGTCCGATGGGGTAAGTGAGTTCGTATAATGGCGGCGATGACGCTGAGGCGGTATTAAAAATGGTTGTTCCGGCGAGGAGGAGGGTCCCGGCGGGGATGAGGCCATCACTTGAAGTCGGGACTCCTTCAGAGTAGGAAGGAGGAACGTCGGCTACAGGATCACCCCCTGAGTATAGAGGAGTGGCTTTCTCGCTTTTATCGCCGAACATATTCTCGCAATGTAGTGTCGTAGGCAGATGAGTTCAGTGCAGGAAAATAGCTTCGAGTGCAAAGTCCTCCCGATACTAGAGGCTTATGCGTCGCCGAGAGGTCGAATAGTTGCTGACTATGCTGTTGTTATTACTCTTGGAACAATTGGCAGAAAGGCTAGGAGATAATGCGCCGACGATGCAAGATGGAGATCCTCAACAGCGATGGGTCCTTCGTGGTCAGGGAATTACAAGCTTGAAATATGTGGTTAGGGACGGTTGGGATTCCCGTCTTGGCCCTACGAGCTATACCAACGCCACAGTTCACATGGTATGATCTTCGCGAGTTCACTATTTCGCAACGAAAACGAGCAGCAAACTTCCAATAATTTGGCATACTGCAAGTTGCGCCACACCATATGACGTGTGAGAGACCGTAGCTGTGAACTGTTCACAGGGGCGGTGTAAATTCCAGTGGGGTTTTCTTGAGACTGCGCCCTGGCCTCTGGGCGCCTACCGTCTTGGCAGTGATGATGATGACTGCAGCCTGCAAGGGACTAGCCTGGTTGGGGAAAAGATTGGCAAGACTTTGAGAAGGAATTGATCTTTTGTCTACTAGGTACTCAAGTTTTGCAACGGGGTTGTTTGAGAGGTTACGATAGAGACTCTTGAAACATAAGGTCAGGTGGTTTCGCCAGCAGTCAAAATGGTATCAACCATCGTGGGCCCCCATGCCACACTTGAGAATGCGACATCGCGGCGGCCGCTCACCACCTGTCCGGAGATCAATTTTGGACAGAGTGAAAGTCCATTTGAATGGGTATTTGTTAATACAAGGCTTCACTGGAAGCCTAATAGCTGAGGCTCCACCCCTGTCTGTTACCCTTCAAGTTCCGTGATCAATAGTTCTCGGCCTTCAAAACAGCCTCGAGGCGCGGTATATCAAACTGTTTCGATGTAAGCTTTGCGACCGAGGGGTGATTATCGGACTATCGATAGCCCGCAACGACTTACCTCGATACCGGCTTTAGTATTCCAAATCGTTACCTCTTTGGAAAAGAGCATGTACGATAGATTCTCATCCAGGTTGAGTGCCGCGCTATCCAATTTTGTTTGCGAAGCCCGAAGGTGTGTGATGGCTGACCCGCTGTCATTGAGCCACAATTTGATGACAGTATTGACGATCGGCATGTCCGCTCCACCAAAGTAAGGCCTCACATCGGCGCCCGGAATAGGGACGTGGATACTGGCATTATAAATCGTTCCGGCGGGTAACGGTTTGATCAGTGCATCCGCCAGATTCCTCGCAAACGTCTCGTTCGATGTAGCATTCTTCGTAGCCATGGCCCAGAAGAAGGCGACCGGAGGCTCGGTGCCGGGTTTCGCCGGAGGTTTCGGGGCACCCGCCGTGATATTGGTCAGGAAAGTCTCCGTCGCAATCATCGACATGGCAACTGGGAAGTCGTTGAAGTTGGCTCCATCAGGACCGATCACCGTCTCGGTGTAATTCGTGGAGGGTGGGCCCAAGAAGGACGTCGGGGAGCTACTGTATAGCTCGGCGATGTCGTCGCGGCCGACGTAAACTTGGTTCGCTACGCTGTTGTTTGCACCAAAGACTCCGTCAAAGACATGGCTTTGGATGTAGGCTGCGGGGAAGGAATCGTCTCGAGGTGCGTTCCATGACTTCTGCCCGTGAACTAGTGTATGGTAGTACAGATACTCTTTGTGCGTAAGACCAGAGCGGCGACGGACTACGGCGAGTTGCTTTGGGAGAGACTGCGCCTGAGCGGAGATGATCTGACTCGCAACTAGGCCAAGCAGGAGGCCGATGGGTGAGACTTGAACCATCTTAGCAACTCCAAAGAACGAAATTGAAGGTTGGTGTGATGCGATATCGATACAAGAAGAAAGAAGAGTACTGGCGACTCCCAATCTCAAGTACTTACCCTTAAGGTCGAGCTTAGGTTGCTGAACCCCTCAGCCGATTGCTCATCCCTCCCGGTGGGGCCGGGCAGCCGAGGCCATAGGAACACCACCTGCCCTGAATGAAAGCAATCATTTGTATAATACGATCGTTATGACCCATACAGGACAGATCGATTGCTGGGTCTCTAGAAGAAGCCTCGCTACCGAATTGATCAGTAACCACATGGAAACCGCTTAAGAGCGAGACTCCGGCAGCATTACTCGGGTTCCGGAAAGTGGGTGGAATGACACTGCATCGCGACTAAACTTAATTAACTCCTGCACGTATTTGATCTGGTGTATCGTTGAGCATGGTCCCGTCCGCCAGTAAGAGCGAAGCTTTCGGGAACGTATGTTCTGCAGTATAAATACGCTTAATTATTCGGATTGCAACCTCTGTTGAGACGAGAGCCAGGGGAGCTCTAACATCTTGGCTCGCTAAGCCGCTCCGTACGAATTTGTTCACCGCTTTGTCAGCGGGAGCCGCTTCTTATGAGCTGGGCATCTTGTCAATCGCGTCTTTCCTTAAAACCGCCACGGGTATGCTCGACTTTCACAGTTCGTGTTGTAATCCCTCTTCCTGCGACTTGGTGATGGCACATGAACCGAGCCACATGAGCCACATCATGAAGTCGGACGTTCTCTGAATGCGCGCACTTTCTTCACGTGTTGAGGCCCGCGGGATTGATACACGGATTGCGTTAGCGGCCGAAATTAGAAGCTCGAGATCGAGCTGGCCGTCTGCATCTTCTGGGTGTATGATCATATTGAGAAACAGAGCAATGGCTGCATTGGTGGCGTAAAACATCAGCAGCCTAGGAACTTCATTAGTTGCTAGACATCCACCCACACAAGAATATTGGCTGCGTGCATGGGTTCAATGATGCTTGAGGAAGCCGAAGGGAATATGATGACTGACCAGAAGCCTTCATTGGAGAAGGTATTCATACACACTCGCAGGCATCGAAGCGTCGATCTGCCGGCTTCCATCGATAAGTCATAGCTTGAGTGAATGACCCTGTGAAGATCTTGGCCCCCGTCGCCAATTATCGTATGTGCATCATATCGTCTGACTGTGGTATGGACGTAGATCATCAGGTACCAATACTCTAGAAGAAGGTGAAAATATCGTCGTGCATGAGGTGGTTTTGTTTCCGGCGTTATTAGAAGAGTATTTGACGAGACTGAGAGAGCTGGCCGAAAGTCCACCGGAACTGACAGACGCCAGCATTCAATCTCGTCATCTAGTTCCCGGATTGAAATCAAGAGTCGATTGTCTTTGTTCCTCAGGGCTTGTGCCGAGTAAAGTAGCCGATATACTTTCTCTTTGAGATACCCTAATTGAGCGTCTCCCGAGAAGTGCGGTGTGAGAGCCTCATCACTTGATGCATCTGAATGGTGGAGATACTCATTAAGACCACGTAGATAGGTGTAAGAGCTCAGGTAATTTTCTGGGACGGTGAGATCACAGTAGATGTCAGCAAGTAGTGGAGGTTGTCCTGTCCGTAGGGACAAGTCTTTATCCGACATGTAGCAAACCCAGAAGAGGTTCCTAATATGCCGTTGTCTTCTCTCGGACAGCCGGATCTCTCCTGTAAGGGCCTTCGAGGGCTGATAAAGGTGCCCACCGAGTGCACCGACTGTACGGCAGGCTCCTGGTAGTAGCGAATCGGCGTCTTGCCAATAACCGCACAAGAGACGTTGCACATGCTTGACTCTAGATTTAGTTTGCTGATCATTGCATGAACTACTGCAAGCCAATGTTTAGGATCGACTCACTAGTAACAGGGCTGTTTGCAACGTTGTGAGGCTTGCATATCCGACAAGTTGACTGAGAAGATAGCTGGCTCTGGCTGCGCTCTCATTGCCGTCTAGCCCTAAGGAACCAGGCTGAGCGTCTGGTAGTAACGTCATGAGACTGACGACTCCGAAGACGCAGGCCCGGGCAGCCAGGCGAATTGGTAGAGGTGAAATATTGTCGGGGTCTCCGTAAGCCTCGTAGATTGTCTCTTCGAAGAGAACTTTGTCAATGAGTGGGTATCTTAAGCGGAAAGATGAAATGAAGTACGACGACAGAAGCTCTCTTAAAGAAGCTCGATCCGGAAGTTGACAAAGATCTGGCGAAAGTTGCGCATGTCTCCTCGCGAAAGGCGATGGCTTTGGTGTGAATATTTGAAGTTTACTCCAATCGATGGTTTGACCAGTCTTGGAGGAAATCCATCTGCGCCCGTCTTCGGAGAATGCGTGGATGCCTCTGAAGAACCAGTTGGGACCGACATAGCTGCCGGGCCCATCTACTGGTGGTGTTGTGTAAGTATCATCCACACTGGTGGGGGTCTGAGAGAAGACCAGTGGAGAGAGTGATTCATCGGAAAACGCAATAGAGTTCTGAATAGTTGCTTGAATTGGACTTTGGACAGATGCTGAGTTTGAAATCTCCTCAGATGCGGATATCGCTGGAGTTGGTTGGCCTTGATTAGGGGTGTCTGCCTGAGTTGGTTGCTGCGAGTTCGCCTTGGCTAGCGCATCTTCGAGCTGCTGTATGCGATTGTTGAGGCCTTGGACGTCGCCCAACGTTACCCTAAGGGAAAGAGCCGTTACTGGTCAGCAAAGGCGCATTATAGGGACTTTCTTCCTTTGGAGAGTGGTTGAGAGTTACTGACTTGGCTTTCCTCTTCCTCCGTGGCGCATCGCGGTGAAAAGTGCATTCGGAATCATGATGGCTGCACCAGTCGCACGGAGGGCCCTCTGCAGGGATAAGACATTGGATCTGGGATAACAAAGCACATAGGTCAGCAATTGAGTCTGTTCTCCCTTTGAAATACAGGTGACTTCAGCGGCCTCACCTTTCTACGATAGCAGATATCGCATGCTCGCTTTGGTGGCATTTTGGCATTGATCAGCGTTCCCCGAGAGCCGGTACTTCTGGCAAAGCTGCCGGGGCTTGTTGGTGCAAGACAGCATCGATTTGGACACACGGAGCAAACTCAGCTCCGTCGGTGGCCATGCCCCAGGTTTTGAAAGATCTCGTATCATGACTAAGCGGGCTCAGCATAGAGTTTGGCTCCGATTACAAACGGTTTACCTCCATCTGACATAGAGGCTGGGCACTAGACCAAAATGGGACGGACATGATTCAAGAGACGGGATAATGGCCATGTTCTCCATTTCAAAGCTTTGGGGACACATCCATCTTTCGAAAGAATTGGTATCAGACGCATCAGCATATGTTAAGAATTGGCCGCTTAGAGACTGTGTTGAATGAAGCAGCTCAGATTTGAGAGATGACTTGCTAGAGCAGAATCTGGGTACATACAGATGTGTGCCATAAAGTAGCAGTTAAAGGCACGGACGCGGAACCTGTGTTACCTCCGTCGCTTCGACCCACTCTACAGACTCATCAATCAGGGCAAAGCTCCCTGTTCGGAACCTCAACGTTTCCGTACCCAAATGCTTGCAACGCAGAGCTTCGGGAATGCTTTCACCTCCCTCCGTCTTCGCGTAGCTATTAGATAATAATTCCTGCTCACCGTTCATCTGAAGTCACGCCACGTCAAGGTTAAGATGTCTATCCGTATATTATCTGATGCGGCCCTGCCCGGGCCTATAGCTATCAAGCTTTCTCCGGTTCCTACCCAGTCAACTATTTAGTTCTCTCATCCTTATCTGATCCTCGAATCCGAGGCTTTGGGCAATTCTCCTTTTGAACGATGACGCACACTAAGTCTCTCCCCGATGAAGAGGCCATCCGGCCCGACGAGCAGACGCCGCTTCTCGGCAATGGAGCAGGCCAAGGAGATCGCTCGGTCTCCGAAACCCACCGGGTGGATCCCCGAATCGCACGCCGGCTCTACTTATCGCACTTCCTCTCGACTTGGAATTCTCGGATGTTCGAGTTTGGCGCTGTGCTGTACCTGGCGACCATATTTCCGGGTACACTGTTGCCCATGTCGCTTTATGCGCTTGCCAGGGGATTATCGGCTCTCGTTTTCGCGCCTACAGTTGGACAGTACATTGATAACAATGACCGGTTGAAAGTTGTCCGCGCATCCATTGGTGAGTCTCGGCGCATGTAGATTGACGACTCATCAGGCTGTTGAATATTGACATGATTTTGCCCAGTCTTCCAACGACTTGCAGTATCAGCATCATGTGTCTTATTTTACGTCCTCTTCATTAGGCTGCCGTTGGGCGACTGTGGACGTTCGGCTTTGCTTGCGCTCCTCTCATTGATGGCCTGTGCCGAAAAGCTTTACTCCATCGTGAACATGGTTTCAGTGGAGAAAGACTGGGTGAGTTTGAGCTGATTGCACCGGACAACTCAATGTCTCTAATGGGTCACTAGGTTGTTGTCATCGCCAAAGGTGACATCGAAGCTCTAGCAATTCTCAATGCGCAGATGCGCCGCATCGATCTTCTCTGCAAACTACTCGGGCCACTGTTCATCGCTCTTATTGACGGATTATCCACAAAGGCAGCGATTATCGTCAACTTCTCCATGAATACCGCTTCTGTTGCTGTCGAGTACTATGCCATTGCCAAGATCTATGACGAGGACCCTGATTTGCAGGAGCCTAAGTCTAAGCCAACGTCTACCTCCGAAACAATGGCAGCATCGGCGAATCCTGGCATGAAGCTCCTGAGCCATATCAAGAAGTCCGCATCCGACTTCAATTTCTACTTTGGCCATCGCGCATTCTTGCCATCGTTTGCCTGCTCTCTACTATACCTCACGGTACTGAGCTTTGGAGGCCAGATGGTCACGTACTTGGTCGCATCAGGTTTCAACACAACATACATCGGCATTGCAAGAACAATCAGTGTGGTTTTCGAGGTGTTGGCGACTTGGGTTGCGCCTTGGCTCGTGGGTCGAATTGGACAAGTACGCGCTGGCCTTTGGATGAGCAATTGCCAGGTTCTTCCTCTGATAGGCGGCTTGGTGGCTTTCTGGGCCTTTATGCCGAACTCCCTCATATCGGCAAGCAGCCTCGTGATCGGAGTCATTATTAGCCGTCTTGGTCTTCGCGGTTTCGACCTTTGTACTCAAATCATCGTCCAAGAGGTGAGAAGCTCCCGGCCTATGAAAAGTCATTGGTGTAAAACCGTCTAACACGAGAGTTCAGGAAGTCGAAGCCGAGAGCCGTGGCAGATTCTCGACAGTCGAGGCAGCCTGGCAAAATGCGTTTGAGCTACTTTCATACATGGCGACAATAATCTTCTTCCGGCCTTCGCAATTTAATTGGCCGGCACTGGTTTCTGTTGCGGCCGTGACTTCTGCAAGTCTGGCGTACACGCTCTTCGTGTGGAAGAGGAGAGGGCATCTAATTCATTTTGAGAAATTTGGACTGTAGCCTTGGCTCCCTTTACTTTGACTAAACATATTACTGCATTATGAGGAGAATTTTATGTGTAATTGCAATAGAGATGGACAGAACAGGGATGTTCTCCTGTGGACTTTTACTTGTTTTAGAAACCTAGACTTCCGAATGTTGAGAGACTTTAAAGTGTCTTTGCCGGTCACATGTGATGCCGCAGCAGAACTACACGGTTCTGTTGGACACCTCAGACATAACTTCCAGGCTCTTCCCCTGCCCAAAAATATCAAACAGGGCACAAAACGGGTCCTGCGAGGGATTGAGTGCAGGACTCTCCGACCTTGCCGATACAACTTCCGGAGGTGCAGTCTTTGATAACTCCGTTCTGAGAGGAGACACCAAACGCCGCGCAGACACCAGCCTATTCGATGTTAGTTGGGCAGACTCACGACGCATCACTAATAAAATCCTTGACGGGAATCACGTAGAGAAATGGGCATGGCGAAGGCTAACGCAGCAGCAGCAAAGGCAATGATACGCATGTTAGGCGGCTATCGGGTTTAACTTTAAGTTGAGATTTTGAAAACGAAGGTGGAAAATGAGAGATTGGTGCGTTTCCGAAGCGAGAAAAAAGGCGAGAAGAGTTGATGAGACTACAGGAGGAATTGCTCATCACCTCAGGGGGACCAACGTTGCCTTAAATCTTATTTTGGATGGCCGTAGGCTGATAGAATGTTTGCATTATTCCTACAGATATTACAACTCGGCCGAAAGTTGCTCTTGTCATAAAGCTCATACCGAGAAACAACGGCAATGCGTCAAACTGTAAGACCCAAGTCGCTTGACTAGTCATGAGATTAATATCTTTAGGTTCTCGCCAAGATCGTACAAAATCATGATATGTGGGTTTCCATTCCAAGTTGAGTAGAATCATAAGCTGCTTGACTCTACTGGCTCTTGTATACGCGCGTAAAGCCGGACCTGAAATAGGATAATGCCGTCTTCCACGATCGTTCCAAGCGAGCCCATCAGCCACGGGAGACTGGTAAGCAAATACTCTCTGTCTTGCTTGTACGCAATGACACTCATTCCATACGTCAGGTTTCCGGTAATGGACAGCAGCAGGAACAGCGGCGCAAGACCTGTTAAGTTTAAGATCATATGGAATCACAAGCAGTAGGGGGGTAAACTTACCTTCACATGACTTTCCCCTGTAATTCTTAATGATTTGAGGGATCCGGGCACTGCATGCCTAGGTCAGTTGGTGCAACATTTTGCAAGCTCATCACCACATACCACAGATAGCAGATCGCGCCGATGACTCCTAATGCTGAGCCAACCGATTCGGAAATGCCTGGCAACTCAGTAACGCTCACTGCTCCAGGAGGACTCTCGTCGCCAAGCAAACCAAACTGGCGAAGCACGAACCATCCCGAGATTCCCAGAATAGCGACCATAGCAAGGCATGCCGCGTTAAACCGCCAGTCGTGCAGAGTGCGTACAGTGCTAATGTCGGTCTCCTCATCCTTGTCCACAACTTGATTCGAACCGGGAGAGGCAATTTGGTAGTGGCCCGTTGAGTTCACGTCTTCAGAAGAGTCTGCGGGTTCGAGAAGAGGTCGTCGCTCGGGAGATTGCGATCTCGGCGTCCCGGGCTGTACGAAGTTTTGAATCCGACGTTTTGAGTTGTAGTACAGGCACTGGCAAATGAGTGTAGAGTCCGAAAAGCAGAGATATGTTGTCACGGCTATGCTTGCGGGCGCGATGCCGTTCGCCAAACCGCCTGTATCGTGCCAGGTGAGTACATGTGGTCTGCACATGCATCTGAGAGACTGCTCGGAAGAACATATCCCGAGATCAGGTTGGCTGGGCTTATGCGTGTGGTCTTACCTAGTAAATTGGTAACATCCCCCAAAAGCCAGATGAACAGAAATGCCATAGATAAGCTGTCTGCGCTCTTCAACTTGTAGTTTGCGGCAAGTTGTGGAATCTAAACCTGTTATTATATTTTCCCAGAACTGCTGTGAACAGTGAGATATACCAAGAGGCAGAGAAAGGCAGCCATGCTAATGCTGCCGAGTATCTCTGATGCGTCATCCCGCGAGATAGGGCTCTGCGATAGTGACGCAGGCCGTCCCAAATTGACGGCGGCCATGGTGAAGAACGAGAGGCGCTAAGTCAAGTTGTCAGACCAAAGAATACATCGGTATACATCGAAGCAAGTAGCAAACCCACCAAGAAAATATCAACCCCAAGAGAGATAAGTTTGCAGAGTGTCGCGAGCAGCAGCAGGGCGCATAGTTATCCATGACGATAACAAAACTATTCCGTTATCTTCCGCTGAGTCATCTCGTGTGACTGTGTTCAGACGGCGGCGCTTTGAGCGGTCATCGGCATGCGGGTAACTCGGTTAGGCTTTCTGCGCTTTTAGTGGGCGCGTAGTTGGTCACAGGGTCCAAATAGCGGTGTCTCATGCGCTTATCCTCTGCGCGCGACAACTATTGCAGGTCTTTATTGATGGGGCCATGTCGGATTTTGCTTCTCAAAACAAGCGAAAATAGGCAGTTGGCTTTCCAACCTAAACGAACGTGTCTTTGGGCTGCTTCTCAGCTTGCTAAGTAAATTGCGTATTTGAGAACTTAGTTGCCAAATTTGTAGAAGACTGAGAGGTAGCATATGAGTCGCTGAGTGAGGTGTCACATGCATGGTGTATACAAAGGATCCGCCACAGGGGGTTGGATAGACGACTAGGAGCTCAAAGTGGAGAGACCAAGCGTACCAGACTCTTGGTAACGACCTAGTTCCAAGGATAAGTCGTCCCCCGAGCTCTTCTAGCTTGAACCACCGCTTCAGATTGATCGTATAATTCATAGTATTGAGACAGAAGTTCTGTCAATTTCCCCGTGGTCTCGGATGCTGCGAGATCCATAGTTCTAGCGCGACCACTTTCAGCGTAGTTATCTCCCTTATCCTGCAGGCTGGTGGCGAGCTGTAACACCTTCTCGGGCGAGTCTTTCCAATAAGACTGTCGTGATTGTGGGTTAGTTTAAGCTTCCATTATCAACATAATACAACAATGTCTGACTCTGTGAACTTCAGAAACTCACATCTGCTTGCAACGCAATGAATGGTGCTGCCCTGACCAGCTCCCAATCTTTCCTTGGTCTGTAAGATGTTGTGGAAATGCCATGGGCCTGGCAGAGCAAATCTCTAGCTCTAGCTTCTTCTTTTTCAGACCCAAGAGGGGCGTTAAGAAATTCTTCATATATGTTGCTGAATTTCCTGTCGTTGGCTAGATGAATTGCCTCACCTAGAGCTCTCTGGGTGTCTGCCAATGGCACCTGCTCCCAAGCAAACTCAGAGATCGCCACATCAAATCTCTTTACGGTAACTCCAGCTTCGGCGCCTGCCTTGCTTCGCAAGATGTCCTTGATGACCATATGTCCTGTCAGCTGCATAGAGCACTACCTGTATGTTAGGGATGGAGATAGACTTGACCAACTTTGAGCTCACGATGCTGATCATCGAAACCGTCTCTCTGTTCCTTACTGAAGTCATGCACAGCCATTTCGGCAAATTTTTGCTAATGCAAAAGCTGTCGAGGGCTGAATTGCCTGTAGATCAACAAGGTCTAATTGATGTATTGAAATCCAAAAGTATTTTATTCAAGAATGAGAAATGCCACAAACGCCACAAGCGGGGAAGTGAGACCTTATGAGCTCAAGTGTTATTGTTTGAAGCTAGTTCTCGACTGAGCCATCGCTCAAGGCACTATGACGTACTATGCACTGACATGATCGTATTTTGCGGCATGGATGTTCCGCGAAAGCTGGGCACAAAGCATCGAATGACTGCTTTTGTGCTGTTTCTCGGAGACCGCCCTCCTTACGCACATCAGGGACACAGGCTGGCGTCAAGCTGAGTACGGTTGCCGCAACGAGCACTCGATGGAGTGTTGCAATTTCATGACAGTCGGCGATCCAGATATAGAAACATTTGGTAGGATTTGGGTATCGAGACTCAATTACTGCGTAAAGCTAAACATTGCCTGAGAGACTAGGATAACAAGGTGACATCTCCAACTACGGGTCTGTGGTCGCTGATGAGCATGCCATTGACCAGGTTGTTCTGGATCTCGTATCGCTGGACCGAGTACTTCTTCGCATCTTTAGGCCCAAGCCAGACAAAGTCGATGCGGCTTCCCTGCTTGGTCGTATCGAAGGTTGTGTACGTCAACTGATTGGGGCCGATGCGCTGTTCAGGCGTAGCCATGTTATACAACTCCTCCATGAAACCGGTTCCTGTCAACGCCTTATACCCATCACCGTTGGGGTCAGAGTTGAAGTCGCCGGTAAGCGAAACACCCAAGGGACCGTATGTTGTCTGCACAGCTTGAATCTTGGACACAGCGACCTTGATTCCCTCGCTTCGAGCCTGGGAGCTGACGTTATCCAAGTGCGTATTGGCGTGGATGAACTTCTTTCCGCTGGCAGTATGCTCGAAGACAGCAATGGTGACGATGCGCTTACTGCCGGCTCCCCAGCCAGACGAGACAGTATCGGGTGTCGGTGAGAGCCACTTTGTCTCTTCGTGGAGCAGCTTGAGCGCGTCGGTGCGGTAGAAGATGGGGTTGTACTCGCCGCTCTTCTTGCCGTCGTCGCGGGCGACGCCGACATGTGCCCAGCCGGAGCCGAGTCCGTCCTGGATGTCGTTGAGCTGGTTATCGAGTACCTCTTGCAGGCCGATGACGGTGACGGCGCCTGTGGGTGCATTGGTGCCTATGCTCTTGATTGCGTCGATGACATGGGGCTGGCGGCAGCGGTCCTTGGAGATTCCGCAGAGGAGATCCCACCACGGCTTTTCGCCGGATTCGCGTGAACCGGCGTCGTATCGAATGTTGAAAGAGGCAACGCGAATGGGGAGACCCTGAGCCAGAGCTAATCTCGCCAGGAAAATGGGTGCGAGAATGGTCTTGATCTGCATCTTGAAGCAAGAAACGAATGACTGGGGTAAGAGCAACAAGACTCAGTGCTGATCACAAATCTCGAACCACAACACCTACCACTGCCTCTTATATACTTCAATGATGTTTCCCTGTCCATCGCGAGAAAGACGACCGAAGCTACGAAGCACAGCCCAATAAGGCAGTTGAATACAGGATTGACATGGGTCCCCTCCAAGACGTTAACGTCCCGCGGGGTGCAGTGCCCCTCGCGAACGCCAAATCAACACGTGGGTAGCATCCACGCTGAATTTGATCTTGAGACGCGGATAATTATGCGAATAAGGATCATTAGCCGCTGCTTGCCCAGAGGCGCGATGTCATATTGGGCGGGATCTGCCAGATACATGCCCCCTCCCTTGCAAAGAGAGGGGTCGCAAGTAACCTTAATGGCAAGCCTATTAAGAGCCAAGCCACACGGCCTCCCACGCCAGTCTGGTATTGACAGTGGCCGTCTCAGAGTCTTCTTTTTAAAGAGCGCCGAAAGTAGAAATAGACGCCTACAAGAAAAGACCGGACGAACTACCGCGCTAGCAATAC